AGGGCTGAGATTTCTCATGTGATCTCTCCCCTGGCTTTCTTATCATTACTTGGGTGCTGGCAGCAGTTTTTTTTATCCCCAAAAATCTAGGTTTTTAAGATTTTTGGGGGGGAAGTTTTATACCAAAGCCTGGAAAGATCAGGTTTTGGGGGACTTTTGCAGGTCCCTACTTCTGCATTCATTGTGCCAGAGTGGGGGAAAAGCCTTGACATGGTGGCAGCGGTGGGATTATTTTGAGAACCCAGGCTTTTTAAAAGGACACAGGTTTTTCATGTGAGGTGCAAGCTGTGCAGTTTTTTTTTCTTTTTTTTTTCTATGCTGCCTTGGGGAGGGGCAGACAGAAGGTTAACTTAAAGCCAGACACAGACCTTCCTACGCAAACAGTTTGGTTTTTTCTAGCTTCCGGGGCAACTGGATAGCTAGACTTGTTAAGGCGTGATGTCCAGCTCTAGGACGCATTCATACCCCAAGGAGAGGAGTCAGGAGCAGGTCCCTGTGAGTCCAGGGGGAAGTAACCTTAAGAAGGCAGGAAGAAGGTATAGCAGCCCTCCTCTCCCCTAACCAATGCCTTCTCTGCGGGAAGCTGCCTGTAAGGCAGCCGGCAGACCTCTAACTCAGAAAGCGGTGGAGTTTCCCCTACAGATGGAGGAGAAGCGAGCCCAAGCAGAACATCTGGCGAGGCTAGCAGCAATAGAAGTGGAAGCAGAGGAGAAGCGTGTGTGATGGGAGGCCGAGGAGACGTGCGCCCAACAAGAACATCAAGCCAGGCTAGCAGCAATACAAGCAAAGAGAAGGCGAATGGAAGCGGACGCGCAGGTAAAAACAGAGAAAATAAAGGCAGGGACCAGGCGAATGGAAGCGGAACACAGGAGAGGATTGCTAACGGGAAGACCCACCAACCGACCATCCTGCTCCCACGAATGCTGTAGTCACTGTTCAACGTCCCAAGGAACTCCAGACCCAGGGAGTGGAAGAACAACAGAGACTGTATCCGCCCAGGAGTTCAGAGTACAACTGTGTGGGTATGGAATGTGATTCTAGCTTGGCTACTATGTGTAATTGGGCTGGTACCTTAACCCAGCCCCAGAACATGTATGAGGTTTGTGAAAGGGGTGAGTGTGATTCAGAGCAGGGCCGGACTAAGAGGTGGGCGAGCCGGGCAGCTTCCCGGGGTGCCAACCAATGGGCGGCGCCTGCTGGCAGCTGTAAGACAGGGTGGGGGCAGCGTTATCCCCCGCAGTGCTCTGACCCCGCGGCCGTGGGGCCCTTCACCGCCAGGCGCAGCCCCAGGCTGCACGCCAGCAGTGGTGGCTGGGCAGCACATGTGCCGTGTGCCCGCCCGCATGCCCCGGGGGCAGGCTCGTGCATGTGCCATGAGCCGTGCTCAGGGGGTGGGCCCATGCATGGCCATGCACCCGGTGATGGGCCAACATGCTCTGGGGGTGGGCCCATGCATGCCTGTGCGCCCTGGGCGGCACCGCCCACCCAGGGCACCAAAATGGCTCAGGCCAGCCCTGATGCTGGGTGGCTAGTCAGGCCTACTGGGCGCCAGGTAAACGTGTCTCTCAATGTTTGCCGGTGGGAGAGAGCTGTGTGTCTGTGGCTAACGTTCCTGCATGTCTGCCTGAAGCCTCAGAGGTGAGGCTGGAATCAGAAACAGGGCAGGGAGAGCCCAGTGATCCCGGAGGTGTTTCTCTGGAGCAGTCTGGAGTGCCTGGCCAGAGCGGAGTTTTAGTTGAGGAAAGAGGCCAAGTTCTGGAGGGTGAGGAGTTGGCTGGTGAGGTTGGTACAATTGAACCAGCACAAGCCGATTTCCTTGAGGGAGCTCAGTGTGAACAGCCGCTGTGTGGCGGTTTGGCTGCTGGAGGGCCAGTGTGCCTGAGGGGGAGGGTTTCTTCCCACCTCTGTGTCTGCAGGGGGTGCCTGTCAGCCTGGGATGGCTGAGGAGAGGGCTGCAGGCCCAGACTGAGTTCTGGGGACAGCTGAAGCCCAGGAAGGGGAGGCCCCTAGGTTTGTGTGCGCTGGGGAGAGCGGTGCTGTAAGTGGGCTGGGCCCAGTCAGCATCATGTCAGGATCCCAGGGACCAGACCAGTCTGGTGCCGGCGTGTTGCTGGGAGGGCGGAGAGTGACTCTGTGTGATCAGGGTGCTACCCTGGCCAGCAGGGAGTGGGAAGTGTGGGACCTACAGGCAGCATGGAAGCGTGTAGCAGTCTGGAAAGCTGCAAGGGGGAGGGAGACGTCTCTGACCTCCCCCGGGATGAGTCTGTGCGTTTGCCTGGAGGGGGGTCGTGTGGAGACCTGCCTGTTCAGAAGGTGAAGAGAACTCAGGAGGAGTTGGTGGTGGCTCAGCTACTATACGGCCAGGGAAAGGGGAGCTTTTGCTTGCAGAAGGCCATAGGGAAGAGGATCCCGATGGTGAGGTTGGCCAGCAGTTTGCTGTGGGTGAAGGTGACTTGGATTTGGAAAGATCTAATGTGGACAAGGGCGAGGAAGTTGCAGAGGGATGGGAGGGTGTTTCAGGTGGGGTGGAAGCAGCCAGGGAGATGAAACAGCCCTCTGGGGACCAAGTGACTGTGTGGGTATGTCTACACTACCCCACTAGTTCGAACTAGCAGGGTAATGTAGGCATACCGCACTTGCAAATGAAGCCCGGGATTTGAATTTCCCGGGCTTCATTTGCATAAGCGGGGCGCCGCCATTTTTAAAACCCCGCTGGTTCGAACCCCGTGCAGCGCGGCTACACGGGGCTCGAACTAGGTAGTTCGGACTAGGCTTCCTATTCCGAACTACCGGTACACTTCGTGGTACACCTAGGCCCTGTCTCTGTGAGCAGTGACCCACTTGGAAAAGTAGATGGAAAACTAGATTGAAAGCAGGGTGCCAGGTTAGTGTCTGGACTTCTTCCTTCCTGATTAGCTATGGGGAGCAAGGGAATTCCATAGCCACCGTGAGCAGGGGAGACTCACCCAGCCAGCCCTTTGTCTTTGTTAAGATGGAGAGTTCACTATTTAAACCCACAGGGCAATGGGGGAAAGGCAAGACTTGTGTTGCCAAGGAAGGCTGCAGCTTTTTAAATCAAAAAGCCCAAAACTGTCAGAGTGCACTTGCTGCGGGTTTGATCCCATTGCTGATCTCAACTGTTGCAACCATTGTACTGCTGGTACTAAGAATCGAAACGACGTCCAATGTGTACGATCTGGTGCCAAACCCTGGAAACTATTAAGAAATGTACCCAAGGGCACACAGTATGTTCCAAAGCCTTGTGATACGGGTATTTCACTGTTGATACCTGTACTTGGCTTTAGAGCTTCTCACCTGAGAAGGGGCATTCCAGAATTGGGTTGCTGTGTGTAAAAGGGAAACTGAGGCACGAGTCCGTTGTGTTTTCGTGGCTAAGAGCCAAGATGCCTACACTATGGGGAATAAGGATACATACATTATATCAGCGTTAATTAGACTTCAGGCCACTGACGAAGCTGACATGGATACATTTAATTTCTTTGGCTCTGAGCAAGGGCATTGCTGTACCCACTAATGGGTGTGGGGTCCAAATGCTGTGAAAAGGGGCCCGTGTAAGGTGTCTAATGAACGCTTGTACTCTGCTGATTCTACAGATGATGCGTGTGCACTTCTGTGGGTTTTGTATATGCAGTTATGGAATGGACTTTGTTCTCGTACGTTAACATTTTTCTGTCTGGAAGGACTACGTGGGCATGGACTGCCTGCTGCTTATTCAATAAATGGCTATGCTACGGAGCACCATGAACAATGACCGGAGGCCTCCATCTGGGAGACTGCAAAGCAGCTTGGATGTGACCAGCTCCAGCTGGAAGACACAAGGAAGATCAAAGGGCCCTCTGAGGCTGACACTGAAGACGGTTAAGCGAGCAGTTTGTGCTTCTTTGCTAACCGCCTGCATCCAGCACTCGCTGACTGACCTACGAGGGGATCTCATTAACAAGCTGACTCTCAAGTTAATTTTTGTGTGTCCTGGTTTTTACTGTAGGGCTGAGATTTCCCACGTGACCTCTCCCCTGGCTTTCTTATCATTCCTTGGGTGGTGGCAGTGGATTTTTATTCCCCAACGTCTAGGTTTTAAGATTTTGGGGGGAAGTTTTCCCTGTCGCCCAGAGTGGGGCTGAGTAGCTGGGCTGTCAGGAGGTGAGACCCAAAGCCAAGGGCATTTCCCGACAGCAGGCTGGCTGGAGAGAAGGGCTGGATCTCACGTCGGGCTGAGCAGGGAACTGGGCACAGCTCCCAGGAGCCACTGGGAGCTGCCAGGTCAGCGCCTCAGCTGAGTCCTGGCGGTTTAATGGGGTGGGGCCATCGCAACGATGCTTTCAAAGTGGGGCAGGTGGGCACAGAGAATCTCCCCTGAGCATGGGGCTCTCCAGGTGCCATGTCAAGACCTGCTCCCCACATCCCTGCAGCTGCCGCAGGGCGCACAGCTGGGGAAAGGCAGGATCTGAAGTCCTGGAACCTCCAGACATTGGAAACAGCTTGTCGGGGTCACAGGCCATTGGAATGAGTTTCAGCTGCTCTCAAGCGCCTGCAGACTGAGCCAGGCACCGGCCCCAGGCACAATACGGGCAAGGTCCGGACAACATCCCAGTGACTCGTGGCCAGCCCTGCCCCCGCTGCTGGGCCCTGTGGCATGATCCGGCCAAACAAGGCTGGTACCACTGCAATTGTTCAGGGGCTTTGCTGGGCAGCACCTTCAACCTGCAGCATGAGCCGTTTGTTGCGCACTCACAGTCACAACAAACAGGAACACCCAGGCTTGGACGGCATGTGCCCCATGGGGGACCCAGCCCACAGCACTGCCCCGATAGTCACCGCACCAAGGGTGTGTCTGGCACGTCCTCCCACCTGCTCTGGCAACCACAGTAGAGATAACCTTATTGACAGCCTGCAATTGCCTTTGAGAGCACTGGAGCTGTGAGCGACTATTTCGGATGATGTCATCCTGCAGGCGGGTTCTCCGCACCCTATATATCATGAAGCTTCCAATGTGGGGTTTACGGAGGGAGCAGAGCACCGAGAGCCCAGTGCAGACCAGACAGCCGCCTCGCCATGAAGATCACAGGGGCCGTTCTGCTCCTCTCTCTCGCCCTCTATTGCTCCTACTCGGGTGAGTCACTGAGCCCTGCTCAGATACTTCTGCCCTGGAACGACGGGGTCGGCCTCCCCCGATCTACACCAGGAGTCGCACCCCCACGGTGGCTGATGCAGCCAGATTATTTCTGAGCTGCCCCTGCACTATCCTGCCCCAGAGCAGCAGGCTGGTTCCGTGAGCTCCGACTGCCCGGCCCCATCCCACGGCTCTGAAGGGCTGTTCCGGGGGTTCTCTCTGGCTGGGAGATCCCTGACTGCCAGTAACTGAGACAGCTCAGGAGATTCCCAGCCCCTAGAAATCCAACATCCCTGTGATCCCCTTGGCTGCTGAATGTCTCCTGAGCTACAGTTCTCCCCCAGGAAAAGTTTCTTCTTAGCTCCTCCTCTTTAGGTGTTGCTTAATGCGCTGAATTAACTGAAGTCAATGATGCTTAATTAGCACGACAGGATCTGCAGTGGTGCCAAAGTAGAAAGCAGGAGAGTTTAGATCCTTTCCAAACATTTACCGCTTTTTAAATTCCACTGCTGGAGACCTTCTCAGCCACATCTCCTTAATACAGAAAATTCTCCCCTGGGGACACTGGTTAGAGGTCCATTAAGGAACAGGAACAGAGACAGATGTTTGGGGTGAAATGTCTCATTACACTTGAGTGATTGCTGATGTCATTTTTGCAAAGGCTTAATTCTGAAGATGCTGAAATGAAGGAGACAGGTCGGAGGAGCTGCATGCCGTGTCCTACACAGGGGTGAACGCTTTTCACTGACTTTCCCGCCAACGTTCCCTTCACTGATTCCGGTCTGTCTGGGTTTTGTTCCAGATGCTGCTGGCAGCTCTGGTAAGGTAAGTCGATCCCCCCGTTCGTTAACACTCTCTGGTGTGAAGCATCCCAGGTACAGTCTCTGGCTTAGAAACAGGCGAGAACTCACGGAGTCAAAGCAGGAGCAGAGTCTGCCCGATGTCAGCCCGAGCAGAGACTGAATCTCAGGCACTGAGCACGCCTGGGAACAGCGACACTGCAAGAAAACACCAGTGTCTCAGCTGACTCGGGCTAGCAGGTCTTGTGCTGCAGGGCTAAAGATCGGTGCGAGATGTTTGGGCTCTGGGATGCACTCGGGTACCACAGCTCGGGGTGAACACACGTCTACATGGCAGTGAGTAGACACTAGACACTTGGCCCGAGGGGTGGATCCCAAGCGCTGTTGTACGGGGCAGTCGGGGATGGGCCTGTGGGAAGAGCAGGGAGCGACTCAGACACAACAGGGGAGGGGAGAGTCCCAGACGTGCGTGAAGGTTTTTCTGTCTGAGTATCCCCCGTCAGCGGAGATGCCCCTTCGCTCCACAACATGAAGCGTCTGTTACATGCAGAACAATTTCTATCCTCTGTGTCCCCCGCCCCGTCAAAGGAAGAGTCTGCTCTCTATCAAAAAACTCTCCCTGGATTACAAGCTCAGATCCTCCTGGCAGCAAGAGGGGAACTGCGAAGACAGTCAGACGGTCAGCAGGGACCAGGGCAGGATTAGATACTGCACGTGCCTAGGGGCAGGAACTGTTATTTTCCCCTGTGTTCTCAGCCTGTGAAGATGTGGGGGGTGGGGAGGACATTAGGGTACCACTGTGAGGGACCAGTCTGCTCAGCTGTGCCCAGACCCGGCCCGGTCCGTCACAACTACTGCAATGCCGACAATAACGCTAAGAGTAATACTGATGTTCTCTGCAGGGTTACTGCAGTGAGTTTACAGAACCTCCCGAAGTCTGCACCGTGGAATACAAGCCCGTCTGTGGCACTGATGGCAACACATACAGCAATAAATGCAACTTTTGTGGTGCTGTCTTGTAAGTAACAGACTATACCTCCTATTTATACCATGTAAAATGCAATTGTGATGCCACTCAAACCCCTGCCTGGGCTCCACGGTTTCTACCTCATGGAGAAGTGTTTCTTAAACTTACAGGGAATAGCAGGGTTGAGCAAGCTTTAAGGGAAGCCATTTTGAATTCTGTTCCCTCCGAGGCACACATCCGACTCCCTCGCAGCACACCAGCCTTTAAGAAGTGTTGTCCTAGAGCCTGGGTCAAGGGTCTGAATAATTGTTGCTGCCAGCCAAAGGGCTCTGGTCACTTGATGTAATGAGACCTTGATAGAAGCTTGCTCTGACTGTCCAGGGATTGCAGCACTAAGTTCTGTGTGTCTGTCTTTCCCCCTAGTGTAAAGCTTGGAAGTCTTTGCTTTGAGCACGATGGAGAATGTGAGCCGTGTGTCAGAACCGGGCACAACGTTGAGGAACTGTAGGCGCTAGTTCTCACTAGTGGAGCCATATTCTCATCTCAGCCTCCATTCCCAGGGCTCCTGACAGCATCGCTGACTCCCCACCTGTCTCTGCAATAAAGGAAACTCAGAGCCATTTTCCCCTCTCAAAGGACACCCTTTTTGATACTTGAAAACTGCTATCGTGTCCCCTCTCAGTCTTCTTTTTTCTAAACTACACAAGCCCAGTTCTTTCAGTCTTCCCTCATCTGAAATCATAAGCCCTCTCCCACCACCTTGTGAAACATGCAACACAGAGAACCTGCAGCACAATGTAAAACCCTGCGAAATGTCCCAACTTCACCCCATCGCGTATGCGAGAGAGCAGTGTGGTAAGTGCTCACTGAAGAGCAGTGTGGTAAGCGTGAATTGGGAGGCTGCCCAGCTTGTAAGAGAAGGTCATTGGGACTACTGTTAGGGTAGTGTCGCAGAGTCGTAAGCTTAGCTGGCGTGTTTTCTTTTATTTTGCTTTGTAACTGTCTGTGATCTGTCTGCTATTACTTGCATCACTGAAATCACTTACAGTAGTTTTTAAAGCAGGACGGGGGAAAGGCAACAGGTGTGGAGGAGCATGTGGATTGGACAGAGACGTCTCTTAGGTGAGGGTCTATTAATGGAGATTCTCTGTGTCTTAGTAAGGAGGAGAGGATGGAAGAGGATATAATTCCAGTAAGCTCTGAGGAGAAACCCTCAAATGAAAACGAGACACCCTATTCACTTGTGTCAGGGAGTGGCAGACAGATAAAAAGTGACATGTTTTTAAAATGCTTCTATACAACTCTGGAAGTCTACATCATCCGATGGGTGAACGAGACAAGGTGCAGATAGAAAGTTTCTCCACACCTTAAATGACTGTTTCCTGGAGCAACTAGTCTTAGAACACACAAGAGGAGAGAGAATTCTTGAATTGGTTCTAAGTGGAGCAGGATCTGGTCCAAGAGGTATATAGAGCTGGGCCACTTGGCAATAGTGACCATAAGATCATTAGATTTAACATCCCTGTGGTGAGGAACATACTACAGCAGCCCAACTCGCTTATATTTTATTGCAGGAAGGGGGACTATGCAGGGAAGAGGAAGTCAGTGAAACAGAGATTAAAAGGCACAGTGCCAAAAGTGAAATCCCTGCAAGCTGTGTGGAAGCTTTGTAAAGATGTTATAGCTTAAAGTTATAAAGTATCAGAGGGGTAGCCATGTTAGTCTTTGTCCATGAAAGCTTATGCTCCAACACAAAAGCCATAGAGAGGCTCAACTGGAATGTGTACCCCTAATTTAAAAAGAAAACAGTAAGAAGCAAACAACAGACTAAAAAAGCAGTGAAAGCTAAAAAAGAATTTGAACAACTAGCAAAAATCTTAAAAAGTAAAAGCTAATTTTTTAAACTACATCAGAAGCAGGAAGCCTGTTAAACCACCAGCGTGGGCACTGGCTGATCAAGGTGCTAAAGGAGCACCCAAAGACAATAAAGCCATTGTGGGGAAACTCAGTGAATTCTTTGCCTTGGTCTTCACAGCTGAGGTGGGGGAGATTTAGTGTGTGTGGGGGGGGCGCAAATCTGAGCAACTGTCCCAGACTGAGGTGTCATTAGGCCCTTTACAACCTTGCACCATTCCAGGATTTGTCAATTTTTAAGGCCAGAAGGAACCATCACGAGTCTCTCCTCTGACTTCCTGCATAGCCCAGACCCCAGGATTTCTCTGAATTCAGCCCTCTTCAACCCCAACCAAGCTTTCGGAAAGCCAGCTCATCTGGTTTTAAAGACTCCCCCGATGGATAACCCACCGCCACCCCTACTCAGTTCTCCCAGTGGCTAAGTGTCCTCCCTGTGAAACATTCTCTCTGGCATGAACCATCTAGCAACACCCTAGGAGGGGGAACAAAAGCCAGGACTATGCAGCACATTAAAGACTAACAAGATGGCTTATTAGGTGATGAGCTTTCGTGGGCCAGACCCACTTCCTCAGATCAAAATAGTGGAAGAAAATTGGTAGGACCATATATACCTCCCTGCTGCTTGGTGAATTTTCACCAGAGGATCCTATGAGCTTCCCTGAGCAGAGAATTAGCAAGCATGGTGCATGCCCAGTCAGCAAAACCATCCACCCCCTGCTTCCAAAAGAAGCCGCTCTGCTCCCTCTTATAGTGTGCTGGGGCAGATGAGTTCATTCCCCACACCTGGCCCGGACTAGTGACCCAGCCCTTGGGGCATAGCCTGTGGCTCTTTCGCTAGCCAGAGTTAGCATGCAAAGGGTTATCCCTGTCCTTCTGCTCAGCCCATACAGCCCTCCTGTGTGGGGTAGTGTGGTGCATTGCTGCCTCCAGAGCAGTTGGTGTGGGTTCAATTCCTAGCTAGTGCACTGTTGTGGCCTTTAAGGATATTACAAGGAGGAACATGATAGGACAAGCAGCAACAGGCTAAAATTGCTGCAAGGGAGGTTTAGCTTGGCCATGCAGAGAAACTTCCTAGCTGCCACAGTTCTTTTAAACACTGGAATAAGTTGCCTAGGGAGGTCATGGAATCTCCATTGCTGGAGATATTTAAGAGCAGGTTAGACAGACACCTGTCAGGGACGGGCTACCATCAGCAGTGGGGAAACTTGGGGGGAGCTGGATTTGGGTCCTTGAGGCTCAGAGGTCCCTCCAGTGTGGGGGAGCCCAAGTTGGTGCTCCTGCCTGGTGCACCCCAAAATCTACTTGTCGGGGCCCCTTTGGTGTGAGAGGGGAATGTTTCTCACTTGTTCTGCTTGGGTGGCACAGCATGTGGGGTGTCATTTGAACTCCTGGGAAGCCACTGGAAGGATGAGGTTGGGTTTCTTGTGCCCCAATATTTGTTGGCTTTGGGGGTTGCTTTTCCGCTGCTTTGTTGTGTGTGTCATGCTGAGCAGAAAGAGCTTCAAGGAAGTGGCTAGGGGTGAGATAGCTGCTAGGAAACTAAAGACAATAAACCCATTTCTGAGGCGTTATGCATGTGCGTGGTCCCCGGCAGGAAGGCGTCTTGTAGTTGGGCTCTGAACTGCATCTAGCTCCGCTGTCCAAGGTTTGTCTGACTGAGGCATTGCCACGTACAGTATTTTAAGAAGCACCTAGACATTTTTTAAATCATTTTGCCTCTTGGCAGCTTCAGCCGATAAGCTGTTTCTGGCTGAGTTTGCTCTCTTCCTTGTGCTCACCCAGTTTCTTGTTGGAGGGTTGCTCATGAGCGTTGGCCTGTGCAGGTGACTTGTGGGCTGCACACCTGGGGTTGTTAGCATAGGGCTGCTTAGGGGAGTGGGATGTGCAGACCAGTTTGCTATTTGTGGGAGCCGGGTGGTGCGTGGCTGTTTGTGATTGTAGGGCTGGGCGATGGTCCGGGTTTGTTATTATAGGAACTTTTTATTATTAGAACAGTATTAACGGGGGCCAAGCTTTTGCCGTCAGAACGTAAAAACTACCGACCCGTTTGGTTTCAATCGAGAGAGAGAATTGTGTGGCCTTTAGACGCAGACTGGTGCATTTGTGGCCGAACAAAATGGGAGCGTGTCCCTTTAAAAATCACTTCTGCCGAGTATTTCGATCTTATTTTGTAAAGCTCAGGCCAGAACGACTGAGAGCCCAGACAAGAGCCGCATTATTTTTTTTTCTTAGATCCTGTGTTTAGAAACAGAAGGTTACAGGCTCCACAGCCAGCTGGTGCAACTTGCATTATTCACTCCAATCGGCCTGGGAATCTCGCACAGCCCAGTGCCACTGACCTGTGCTGGCGGGGTGGAGAGCAGGAAAGATGTTCCCCAAAGCCCCCCGGCAGACGGCAGAGATCCAGGCCCAGCCAGGCGAAGAGCGCTGCTTGTCGCTCATGTTTCCCCAGGAAGAAAAGTGGCTGTTTATTTACCTGTTTTAATTTAGCCTCAGAGAATTCTGTCTACACAAAAAAGGGCTCTGATCGGCAGCGCAAAGCGCATGCTGGTCTGGTGGCATTTGACACCCACCCTACCTGGGGTAAATGCTCTGTTTTGGGTGGAGAATATGCTGTATCTTTCACGTGGAACGAAGGGGATGTACCCTGGTTTTAAATGCAAAACTCCCCTCTGACGCTGCGTTAGTGACCGCGTCATTTCCGTACCCAGTAGGTTAGTGTCTGTGAGGTAATGAC